CCCAGACAAAAATAAGATCAAGTCCAGCTAAAGAAGAAAGGACAGCAGCCTCCACTGTGCTGACTATTCCTGATTCTGATTTTGAGTCACATCCTGTTTGCAGAAAAGTTCTTCACCTTCTTGAATGGCCCTCTGTAGTGTTGCTTCTTCATTTCCCTGAGGGCTTTCTTTCTGATCATCTTATCCTGGACTCTTCTCTTTTTACTTATTCTAGGTCTTTCTTGCTCCCTCTCTCCCTCCCTCCCCCCCTCCCTCCCTCCCTCCCCCCCTCCCTCCCTCCTTCCTTCCTTCCTTCCTTCCTTCCTTCCTTCCTTCCTTCCTTCCTTCCTTCCTTCCTTTTCTGTCTCTCTCTGTTTAAATCAGTGCTCTCTTAAAATGTTGTACCTTTAATTATATCCATTTCTCCCATGATCTGGCCAAAACTTCAAGAACGGTGATATTTTTGGATTTGATCTTGCTAAGCGTGTGGCTTGAATTTGAAATACCTTATTTTGTTCCCTCACATTAAACTTAGGGACACTAAAAATTCCTGAGGACTTTGTCACATTAATCACTATGCCAAATGTCATTGATTTTTGCTTGCAAATTGTAGCAACTGTATGTGTATTTCAGGCCATATCAGGAAAAATTTTAACAACATTTTTTGTGTATATATGCGCATGCACAGGCATTTGAGGGCATACGTGCACATGGTCACATACTCCTCATTTTTTCCCCACTTGGACCTACGATGGTATATAATTTATAGTGACATCTATAAATGTTTATCGAGAAATTCATATGCCTTGTGGTTTTGTGTAGCCCTTCAGGGGCATTTTCATTAAATTTAGAAAAGTCATACATCCTAGTGAACCTATACTGCTTAGAAATCCCGGAATGATATCACAAATAGTTTTATCTACTTTATGAACATTATTGATAAACTGTCAGTTTAATTAGAACTCCAATTAACATGAACTGCTAATTTTCTTAAATTGTGGTTGTATAAAAAACTTGGAATCCTATAAGTAATTTTTCTCCTTCTTTTATATCCTGTAGATATTAGCTTCACTTATACCAACCATCTGTTCCATAATTGCTTGTTTCTTGGTGTCCTGTTAGGAAGAAAGGCAAGTGAGGATGTTGTTACCTTTATCACTATAGATGTTTAATAGGCATCTGTATCTCACTAAGAAAGAAGCATTTTCAGACTATTGTTCTGTATCTCCAGATGTTAGTGTCTAAGGATATTCTAGGACCCAATATAAGTTCTATATTCAGCATGAAGAAGAATTTGGCTGCTCAAGGATAATCTAATGAAATGTATTATAAATTCCTTTTTTTTCTTTTTATGGTTATGGGGCTTGAACTCAAGGCTGGGTGCTGTCACTTAGCTCAAAGCTAGTACTCTACCACTTTGAGCCACAGTGCCACTTCTAGAGGTTAATTGGAGATAAGAGTCTTATGAACTTACCAGCCTAGGCTGGTTTTGAATCTTGATCCTCAGATCTCTGCCTCCTGAGTAGCTAGGATTACAGATGTGAGCCACCAGCACCCAGCATAAATTCCTTTTATGAGCAAATCCTAATTTCAGGAGAGTGAATGTGTTGGTTTGCTAGGGCTGCCGTAATGAAGTACCACAGATTAGGTGGCTCAACACAGACGGACATTTATTTCCTTACAGTTCTGATCAAGGTGTTGGCAGACTTTGTAAAGGCCTATCTCCTTGGCTTGTCTCCTATTGTCTTCTCCCACGCCTATGTTCTTATAGCCTTCTCTTCTTTCTAAAGATACCAGACATACTGGATTGGGATCCACCTACATGACCTTGTTTACTATAGTTATCTGTTCAAAGGCTCTGCCTTCATATACAGGCACACTCTAGAGGGACGGGAGGTTAGGACTTAGGATTGTACATTTGAATTGGGAGCATAATTGAGTGTACAGAAGGGAATGCTATGGCTGCTTGAAAGTCCCATTCAGATATTAGAGTCTTAGGTTGCTAAAATGCTAATGACTATTTAATAAATATATGGGTATGTATTAGTCTTTTTTTAGATGCAATTGCTGCCTTCTTTTCCATTGGTATTCTTTAATCTTACTAATTACTTAAAGCTACTAGTTTCTCCAAAATGACTGGTGAATGGTGTTATGGCTCAGTCTCTTATACCTGAGATATACAAATTAAAAAGGAGAAACTCATGGATTCAGATGAAACTCACAGTTTTGGCTCATGGATTCAGACCATGGTCATTTAGTCTCATTGCTTTGGGCCTGCAAAACAGATAGGGAGCATGCTGGAGCCTAGCTGTCATGGGCCAAGAGGCCATGGTAATGAGCTCCCAATATCATCTAGGAAGACACGCTGCCAATGGCCTAACTTTTCCCACTAGGTCCCACCTCTGAACAGACCTGCCACCTTGCAGCACAACCATCAAATGAGGATCAAGCCTGCAACACATGAGACTGAAGGGGAAATTTAAGATCCCAAATCTAAAAGATGACTCTCTCTTTTGGAATTCTGGGATAAATCTTTAACCAGAAAACAAAAGGAATCGTGTGTACTCCTCTTTAAAATAGTATAATTGAGTATTTATTTTGTTTGGTCAAGTTGTGGTGTTATAACTAGCTCCTTAAATTTGGAGAGTAGATGTGTAAGGAATCTAAGTCCCTCCAAATGGAGTAATTTGTACTGGATACTTACTCCACTTTTGTTATTTTTAGGGTACCTGTTCATTTCTAAACAACTATCAATTATGGCATTAGAAATATGGGAACAAGGTAAAAACTACATCAAGTTTATACACTTAGTTTGTATATATGGCAGTCTAAAGACCTAAGGGTCCCAGAAGATACGGACCAGTAACTCCAAAGACCAAATTCCACATGAGTAGAGGTTTGAAGGCAAAGTAGATTAGGGTGGTTGATTTTGGGGTTACTTAGTGCAGGAGCTATGGATTATGGCCTAGATTAAATATAGTTGTCATGGTTTAGATGTGGGCTCAAAAAAAGTTGGAGGTAAATAATATTAACGCTAGGGTGGTAGATTACCGAATTCGTTTTATAATGAGATGATGGAAGAGTATTGGTGGAAAAGAGCTTAGAATGAACTACACCAGTGGCTTCTCCATCTTAGTGTCAAAATGACATGGATAGCATTCAAAAACACCAGAACCAGGTTTCAACCTTAGAGAACTTTACTTAGATGGGCATGGTTCTTGACATCTTTTTTAAGTTACTAGAGTAAATCTGTTTGAGATTTAAGTGAAGGGGCTGGGAAGGTGGCTCAGTGGTAGAGCGCTTGCCTCACATGCATGAGGCCCTGGGTTCAATTCCTCAGCACCACATAAGCAAAAAGAAAAAAGCTGGAAGTGGCACTGTGGCTCAAGTGGTAGAGCACTAGCCTTGAGCTGAAGAGCTGAGGGACAGCGCCCAGGCCCAGAGTTCAGACACCACGACCGGACCCAAAAAAAAAAAAAAAGAAAAAAAAAAGTTTTAAGTGAAATCAGGGTTTAAGTTTATGGCTTCACAGTCAAATCTTGGCCACACAGCCTCCCCTTAAAATATTTTTACTAGAAGATATTAATTGCACATTGTAATATTTGCATATATGCATATAATATGCCAAGATCAAACTGAGTCCTCGATCAGTCTCTTCCCCTCCTCCTTTTGAAAACAATCTCAGCAGCTTTCCTTGCTCTATTTTCATAATCCATGTGAAGTGGTTCTAGCACTCACCCTCTCTGTAGTATTCTGTATATCCCATAAACTAGGATGGTTTCTGAATTTTGAGATGGTTGGAAAAAAATCGTAATAATAATGTTTTGTGATACATGAAAATTATAGGAAAATGAAGACTACGGCATCACAATTCAAATTTGGTTGGAACATAGCTCATTTATTTGCATTCTATGTGTCTATGGAATACAAAAACTACTACATTTACATTTTAATGTGATTTTTATCCCTTCTAACGTCTATTTCCATTTCCTCAACCTTCTTTTAGTCTTATTTATGATCAGTGCCAGCTGAGTACCAAAGAACATTTCCTTATTCAAAATTTTAAAGAAGAGAGCAGTATTTATAGGAATGATTTTAGTATCAAAATACAGTTTGAACAAGAGTTAAAAATTGAAATTTTCTTATTTATTTCTTTTGCCTTATGATTTTCATCCACTTGGATTGAGAAAACAAGAAAAATATGAAGGTTAGGAAAATTAGCATAAATGGAAAACAACCGAGAAAGCTAATAAATCCCTGTTATTAGGCCATGTATGTACAGAAAGGCAGCCACCATTTGCTTTTAAACCAGCCCATTCAGTTCAGAATGAGTGCATCCTTATGCTTGGTACACTACTGTAGACCTTTGCTTTTTTGTTTTTTGACTTATATTTTTGGCGGTAGTAATATTAGGGGTAGGAGGAGTCTTAATATATCAGTTTTGTTAGAATAGAATCATAGGTAATTGTTAAAATAATGAGCATGTACCAATTGAGCTGACAGGAAAAAATTATTTCTAAGTAGTTTATTATTCATCATTAGATGATAATTATCAGTGACCTTGAGAGTCTCCTTGTAAAGCTGTTGGTGTTATAAGGAAGCCCATATTCATATTCACATGTTCTCATTTTTATCTGCTCCTACTCCCCCTCCACACACAGTTGTGAAGTGGCTACAGTCCCAGGCATATTTATCCTACAGCCACCTGGAAGGAGGCCAATAATGTCATTACGGATGGCAGAATGCCCAGACAATCTTAAAAAGGCATTGTCTCTGCTACTAATTAAGTTTCAGGAAGGATGTTCGCTTTTATATTAAGCATTTGGGAAAGGCTGAAGGCAGATATGTTAGAAGCAGTCTTCTTAAATTCATGCTTAAATTTTGTTGTCCTTTAGCAATCTTGTAGGTTTGGATCATATGTTTGATGTTGGATGGTTTGGGAAGAAAAGAAAAAGTAGGTAATATTTGTATGTTTTATATTTCATGCTGGGGCCTCAGTTTATTTTCCTTTACTTTTTCAGGGTTCTGTATATTGGCCTGGCCTGCAATACGGCTCGCTATATTTATATTTCCTATCTGGAAAATGCCTGGACTGTGCTCCCCATGGAAGTTCTTCAAGGTGAGTTAACAGATGGAATTAGAATCATTTCTAGACCAAATTAAGCAGTGACTATTAAAAGTGCAGTGGCCTCTGGCATTGAATTATACAAAGGAAGGGTGGGTCTACTGTTACAGGATTTTGAAGTGGTCTGTTACAGAGGAGATGGCGTCAAGGGTACTGGTCCCTTCAGTTACTCCAAGTGCTGCTCTGTGAAGAGCAAAAAAAAGTGGATGATTAAACAAGAAAGAAGAACTCTTACAATAAATGTGCTGTTGTTAAACAGGAGCATACAAGAGTGGGCTTAAATAGAATAAATTTATTTTCCAAAGGTTTAGGTGCTTCTGTTTTGTCAAAATTATTTTATCTCTTCAACTATTTTTTTTTATTATATCTGGTGGTTTATAACCAAAGCTGTATAGTCACACTATTGTTTTGTATGAATTGTCTATGTTCAAATATTCCTGATCCAAATTCCTCTTCTTACTTCAGTAAACTGCTTCCCATCAAGACATAAGTCTAAAAACAAAATTCTTGGAAGCGCTTTCCATGTGGCTGAAGAGCTCTGAAAACATGGATTTGTATTAAAGAGTGTTTTGCCATTTTAGCCCATATAACTAATCCTGACTAGATCCTGAATAATAACCAAGACCACTATGGCCAATATAGTGATTGGCATTATGAGTAGACAGAATAAGATCACTAGAGTTGAATGGACTATGATAGTGTAGGCTCCCTAAATCATTAATTTTACTAACTTTCATTAGTTTTGTTAAACATTGCCATTATCATCTTACCCTCACACTAAGGATGCAAACACAGTTCGATGAACATAATTTCTTATCATTTAAATCCTTTTAAGATGAAAGAATACACACAATTTGACATCTAAACAGAATGTTCAAAATTCAAGCTCACTCATCAGATTCCATCATGACAATGAAAAAACGAAATACTTATTTGAATGATACACAATTTATATTCATATTCTAATTATGAAATTTGAAAATCAACACACTTTAAAGAAGCTTTTCTTAGAGCTAATGCAATGGTGTAACAGTGAAAGGAGATTTGTTTATAAACATATAGAAAATTAGACTTACAAAAAGGAATTATTGCAAACAGCCCCGAATGGCTCAAGCCTGTAATCCTAGCTACTCAAGAGGCTGAGATTTGAGGATCACAGTCCAAAACCATCCCAGGCAGCAAACTCTGAGATTCTCATCTTCAATTAACTGCCCTAAAACAGGAAGTACAGCTATGGCTCAAGTGGTAGAGGTCTAGCCTTGAGCACAACAGCTCAGGGACAGTGCCCATGCCCTGAGTTCAAGACCCAGGATCCCAACATATAAAGGAAGTTACTGTTGTTTGTAATAGAATTATAAAAGGGTCTTAAGGTGAGGTTCATATCTCAGCATTGTGTCACTTAAAAACGTAGAGAGAGACTTCTCTGAAGAGGAAATAAGAATGGCCAATAGACACATGAAGAAATGTTCAACTTCTCTCGCCATAAAAGAAATGCAAATCAAAACAACATTGAGATTCCACCCCACCCCAGTTAGAATAGCTATAACCAAGAAATCTAATAACAACAGATGCTGGAGGGAATGTGGCCAAAAGGGAACCTTACTGCATTGTTGGTGGGAGTATAAACTAGTTCAACCACTCTGGAAAGCAGTGTGAAGGTTCCTCAAAAGACTCCACACATAGAGCTCCCCTATGGCCCAGCAATCCCACTTTTGGGCATTTACCCAAACAATCACAAACAAGGCCACACTAAAGCTACCAGCACAACTATGTTTATCGCAGCGTTATTAACTATAGCTAAGATATGGAACCAACCCAGATGCTCCTCAGTAGATGAATGGATCAAGAAAATGTTTTATATATATGTTTTATGTAATATATAATATATGTTTTATATACATACATATATATATATATATATATATATATGGAATTCTATGCCTCCATCAGAAAGAATGACACCACCCAAATGGAAAGAATTGGAAAAAATTATATTAAGTGAATTAAGCCAGACCCAAAGAAATATTGGTCCCATGGTTTCCCTTATTTGCAATAACTAGTATATGTCTAGGATAATCTTATCAGACAAGCAGAAAATGTTAAAAGCTATGTACATATGACCATATAAGATGATGCTAAGTGAAATGAGCCCCGAGATAGGGACACAAGAGTTTTTGTTTCTTTGTTGCTGTTGTTTTTAATGTGCTATTTAATTTTTTTGTTTCTTTTGTATATTCTTCCCCCATGGAATAACCTCTGTTTTCACTGTATTTGATTCCAGTGCCCTGCATCTAGTATAGACATTTTTCTAATTAGGGGAAGGGAAATAACAAAATGCTCAAACAAGGATACAGGTTGACCCATTGTAACAATGAGATGTACATTGGGCTGGGAAGGTGGCTCAGTCGTAGAGCGCTTGCCTTGTATGCATGAGGCCCTAGGTTCGATTCCTCAGCACCACATAAGCAAAAAGAAAAAAAAGCTGGAAGTGACGCTGTGGCTCAAGTGGTAGAGTGCTAGCCTTGAGCTAAAGAGCTGAGGGACAGCTGTGCCCAGGCCCAGAGTTCAGGCACCATGACCAGAAAAACAAAACAAAACAAAACAAAAACCAATGAGATGTACAGGACACTATGTTGAAATGAACTTTACAACTTGGGTGGGGGGTGGTGGGAAGGGAGGAGTTGGGGAGGTTGGAGGGAAGGCATGGTAGGGGAAAAATAAAGGAGGGGGTATCAATGCTTGATAGGAAATTACCTTACTTATGTAACTGTAACCCCTCTGTACAGTATCTTTACAACAAAAAATTTTTTAAAATAACAAGTCACTAAACATGAATTACAAGAAAGAACTGCAGTAGATACAACCCAGTTACTGGGATTTCTTATTCCGATTCCATTCTCTCCTGTCTGGCTTATTTGATTGTCCCAGAGTGTGAGATTTGTATATCTACTGAAGAATATATTGCAATAACGTATACATATACTTATTTTTTCTCCTTTTAATATGAGTTAGATGGATGCATTTGCCTAAGAAACTCAAGAAAAAAATAGCATTCGTAAATGGCTAAAAGAGCAACAGGAAATTTTTCTAAAAGGGAAAAATCAAAATGCTATTGTGAATTTAAGAATCTTTTACTGTTAATTTATCAAAGATGAATTAAGTGGCTGAAATCCAGGCAACATGTCGAACGTATGAAATATATTTAAAAAATAATAAAGGCCTTGAGGTCTCACCATGTGTTCTGGAAGGCAGATGTGTAAACACATAATTACTATTCAGTATGCTAGGTAGAGTAACAGAAAAATTGCACTAGGTAACAGACAATTTGCTCAGCAGAGGGAATAATTAGCTTTGTGAAGCAGGGAGTGAGAAGACAATTTACTGAAAAACTCCCTAAGGAAATAACATATACGCTGGAGTTTGAAAAGCTTATAGGAATTCACCAGGTGACCTAAAGAGAACAGGCATCCTGGCACATCGAAAAGCATTATACCAATGTGTCAAAGGGGGAAAACCCAGAAACTTCAACAACATGGTGGTGTACTGTGGTCAGGGCTCAATAGATTTATCATGCCATGCTGCTCGGCTACGACATGCCAATACTCAGGACATGTTACCTCAGAATTTAGGCATCTGAATATAATGTGTATTTAAAAAGAATTCTACTTCCTGTGGCCAACTACAGTTTATAGTGTGTTTCTTTTTGTTTTCCCCTGTGCCTTTAGAAACCTACTTATCAAAAGTAAGTTAAAACAACAAATAAAAAAGATCTGCACAGCCTCCTAGCCAAACAGAGGGTTCTGTGACCACATTCCACAGAGCTCATTGTTTCTCAAGCTAGAGAGATTGTTTCATTTCCTGGCACAAGTGAGTGCTGCAAAGGTTTTGGCTGCACAACCCAAACAAAATTCCTTGCCTTTGTTTGACCCATGCCTAGCCCACAGAAAACAGTGGACCATCTATGTAGAATAAATCCTGCATCACAGACATCTATTTCATATTGTGAAGCTTTGTTTTGGCAGTTTTGATTCTGCTGCCCATATACGGGCTTGTCTAAATGACCTGAAAGTCCCTATGCTTAAAAAGGGGACTCTACTTAGGAAGCAATAGAAACAAGCAATGATCATACCAAAACACTAATAATTGATTATAGACTGGCCTACTATCTTGATAGATACCCCTTATTCCACTGACTGGGAAATTGTGCCTTTTACCCATGCTTTAGGAATGAGAAGGCTGGAAATGTGTGTTCCTATCACGTGATGATCCTGACACTGAAAAATCAGCACTTTAATCTTTTTTTTTCTTTTTTTGTTGGTCGTGGGGCTTGAACTCTGGCCCTGGGCACTGTCCCTTGCGCTCTCCAGCTCAAGGCCAAAGCGCTCTACCTCTTGAGCCACGGTACCACTTCTGGTTTTCTAGTGGTTTATTGGAGATAAGAATCTCACAGACTTTTCTCTTCGGGCTGGCTCTGAACTGTAATCCTCAGATCTCAGCCTCGTGAGTAGCTAGGATTACAGGTGTGAGCCACCGGCACCCAGCAGCACTTTAATTCCTTGTTAACCAGTCACACTCAAGAAGGTCCTCTTTAAAAAAAATCAGCAAAGATGATTAACCTTTTATCTCTCACCTGAAATGAAAACTGATACTACCCAATGGATAGCTAGACACAAAAGCTGTGCTGTAATTCTTGTTACCAGCTACCATCTCATCCATCACATCCTATTTGGAGATTACATGCAACTAATGTAGGAAAATTTCTTGTTTTACCTCATTTCTAGGAGCTCTTGATAACCTTGTCATCATTTGGTCTCCTTAAGCCATGCTGATAATAATAAGCAGTTAGGACTATCCACAATAGCCAAGTTATGGAAACAGCCCACATGCCCTTTAATAGATGATCAGATCAATTATACACAACGGAATTTTACTCATTCATTAGAAAGAATAAGATTAGTCATATGCAGGGAAGTGGCTAGACCTAGGACAAATCA